CGACGCGAGCGCTGCTGGTTCATCTTGGCACGCGGCGCCTGGGGCAGCGGCCGGGGCACGCGGTGGGGCACCGTGGCGGGGTGGCGGAAACAGGGCGGGAACGCGGCGCAGCCGGCGGCGGAGCACATAACAGCGTGGAAGAACCGGACGGGACCATGGCGCTCAGAACCCGTCGGGCAGGGAGCATTGCACAGGCACAGCGGAACAGCATGGGGACACACAACAGGAGCATGACATATAGCAAAGGGCATGGAGAACAGAACGGAAAATAACACATATGATATAAACACGGAATACAGGACTTGCGTGTGGCATGCAGCAAAGGGAAAAACATGAAACACGACACCAACTCAAAGACCGTGCCATTGCACACCGAGACAACCCGTTTTCCCTAGGGCCGAATCGCATCTCGACTGCCTGTCAGCATAACCAGAACACAATGCAACACAGGAGTACGTCCACGGGCGGACGTGCAATGTACAGCTGCATTAGCTAGCACAGGACCGCAACGGTGACCGGAGGCGCTGGCCCACATCGGCTATCGGACTTCCACACCCGCCCATGAAACAGCCAGAGAGCTGGTGCGGGAACACGTCGAGTTCAATGCTCCCTACAGGGGTTCCCGGCCGGGGGAGGGAGACACGCACCGTCCCGTCAATGGCCATGTAGAGCAGCTTGCGGGGCCGCACGATCGCCATCATCTTATCGATGGCCTCGAAGATGGCCACCATCATCTCATCCTCGTTCTTGGGCGCGGGCCTGCGGGGCGGGGGCGTTGGGGTTCAGAGGCGGCGCCACCGGCGAGCAGACTCTCCGCGGCGCGTGTGCGCACATCGTGGCGTGGTCCAACCCACTCCTATGCCCAATAATGATGACACCTCGCGGTCTTCTATCAGTCTACCCAGTTCCTCGTCTGATCTGGCAGCTGCAACTTCAGCATGGTTAAGCCCTGTTTTGGGAAGTTTACATGTGTTGTTTTGGGGTATGTGCCATTTGGATGAACACATCTTTGCCACACAGTGCACACAATTACTTCAGTTTTGGTCAAGCATGTCAAAAAATCAAACCAACAATAACAATGACAAAACAATTTCACATTCATTATAATGCCTCTGCCACCACCGCAGACCATTTTCACTTCCCACACACCATGCAACACGTCAAACAACATTCTCACATCGATGGAAAATCAGTGCCAACAAAATTACTTTCAATACCCCAAAACATGTCAAGATATGCTTTGCAAGCCACCAGGCTCACTTACTTGTCCTCTGGATGAGTGCAAGGATGGATGATGCCATTCATGTCAAGGTACAGGTTGTCAAACTCGATGCCATTAGGATTCTCTTTGCTGATGTCAACAGGGATCTTGACCCCAGTTGACTTCGCCAGGCTGAAAGCAAACACACACCCCATTCAAAGAGATGACTGGCACACAGGACCTAAAATTAGTCCTAAATGCAGTCCAGGTGAAGTTGAACTGACTAAGAAGTGAAATGGACAACTGAAATATTAATGTTTCAATGATACACACTAACAGATATAGAGCCAGTTAACTGCAGCCCTCAAACTCAAAATCATATGTCACATCAGCTCCTGAACACAAGCATCCTTTGACCTGGTTCACAAAACTTTAAGTGATTTATGAAAGCATTGGTCTATCCTCACAACTACACCTAGCACCACACATCCAGAATAAGGGCTTTGCACCATTTAAGCACACTAAGTAAGGCTACAGGTTGAACTAACCAAAACAGCATGCTTTTAAACCATATATTACACACATATAGGGGAAAAGATTGGCCACCCTACCTCAGATTTGGACTTTTGTGTCACTCAGGAGTTTGGTGAGTGATGGAAACTATCCCAACTGAGAAGCTGAAAACTGGCTTAACTCAAGCCCCACTTTGAACAACTAAGCCCAAATATGTGCCATAAGCCTGGAAACTGCTTTATAGATAAAGTGGGCACATTGCACATGTGCCTTTACATGACATATCCTGAATTTGTCCTCAATTCCTCAATTCTTACCTGATGTAAGTTCCTGCCATGCAATGGAAAGGCCGTGCTCATCCATTAAAATGAGTATTCATACTCACCTTCTCTTGAATACAGTCAACATGACTGATGCATACTTCTTAGATAACCATCGAAGAATGCTGGAACTCCCATTGTAGCGGAGAATGAACGTATTCTCTGCCACTAATCTCTTTGTCCGTGGAAGTAACTTTTCAAATCCTGGAAAAGGGTTTCTCATTTTGATGATGAACACAACAAAAACAAGGTGTGCTTACCAGCAGTGCTCACCAGTACCTTTATATTCTCATTATGTACTCCATAAAGGGGAATGTGTACAGCCCCCCAAAACTGGGAGTATGTGCTGAGCAATACCACACTTATGAACATGGCACAATTAAATTTAACCCTTAATGACCCATCTACTTCAGACTGTAAATACCTCCAAATGCCTCAGTCTGCAAACAATCCATATGATGCACCACATGATAACACATTGGTGAGCTGCATGACTTACAGCGGTTGATGCACCCTAAAACCCCCCAACACATTGGCTAAGGTGCATCTCAAGCTTATGTCACAGAAGTATATCAAGGACAAACTGAGCTGAGTTTACAGTTAATTTTACATCAAATTTTTTTCTCCAAATATCTTCGCCTGAGATGACTTCTGCATCACAAGAGGTCCTTGATACATTGGCCCACTATGTGCTGAAATTAGTGGGACGACTTAAAGGCGGAGTGTAAAATACGCATAAGTCTGCGTATTCTTGTAATCGATAGCAGCTCACAAGCATCTTAAATGCTAAGGATCACATAATCCATTTTGAGCTTATGCATTGCACCACACAATCAACCTTACCCAAACCAGGTTACACAAGAGGCCTCGGACTACGCGCAACTGTAGCTTGCGCCGGTTTTGTGCCAGTTGATAGCGGTCCTGTACGCTAAACGTTGCTAAAATACTGTATACAGAGTGCTGCGATATATCTGCGCTAATGCACACACATTCTACTAAAAGTACCATGAATTAGAAATGCACACATAACTACCTTCGTCCCAATGCTTTATTTGGTTAGAGCGTCTGCCTTCTGATTTATCCACCCGTGGTGGAATGGTTTGAGTCAGGGGCATGTCCGAGATAGTAATGTAATTTTCAGATAATTGTTTGATGATATGGAGTCCCGGGTTCCTTGAGCCCTCGTTTCATCTTGAAGGCCAACATTGATATGTCAGGACTCTTTATGGACGCCAGCTCTTGCGCTTTTAAATATTTTGACGCTTACAGGGTTAAAATTGGCCGGTAATTTTTTAGTTTGAAGTTTCTCATTGCACGAGCCAGATTTCCACTTTGAACAATGACCTTGAAAGGTGAGGACTTGGAAACATGAGGAAAGATGTAATGCGCGTTTGTTCTTTCTGCAATGAATATTCTGGTGCTGGCAGGTAGAAGATCTGCCGGTCAGTTGCTGGTGACGCCGAGTTCCCCGTCATGAGCCCGCGTTTGACCTTAAAGAATGACCTTGAGAGGTCAGGACTTTTAGATGGACGTTATTTCTTGCACCTGTGAATATTTTCATGTTTGCAGGCTAAAAATCGGACGGTAACTTTTGGTGATAAGGAGCTCCCTGTCATTTAACCCAGCTTTTGACGTTGATGGTTCACATAATATTGCAAAATGAAGTTATTTTCGATGTTCTGATGCATTAATTGAATGAGGGGGGCTTTGTTTTGTGAAATCGAAACTCGTTCTTGAATACATCGCTGAGTAATCACCAACTTCATCGACATACTGGCAGTCGGATATCAGTCTGTTGCTCAAGGCGGTGTGTAATACTGCTGCTAGTATGACGCAGGTTGACAGACTTCGCGCCGCGCAAGTTTGTACAGGTACTGTTGTGTCGTACTGGCGCTGCGTGGATGGCGCGGTGAGGTGGTGCGAAGGGGTAGGTGAGGTTGTGGCGGTGGCAGCGGATGATCTGTACGTATATTCGCGTGAGCATATTTCAGCCAGTTCTCAAGTGAATCCTTAAGTGGGGAGTAAAAAGATTGATTATAACGCACTGAAACTTGAGAACCATAGATCGTTGATGGGCCCGTCCCAGGATTCTCGACATCGCCAGCATTCTTGCTGCCCTGTTCTGCGCAGGCTGCGTACAATCGCACGACTTATGGTCTTTCTCTTAAAACAGTCAGAAAAACCAGATATAGGGTCACATGACATGTTCTGATTTTCAGGCTGTGTCAGAAATGGCAAATCGGGTTGTTCTTCTCATTGATATGGACTGCTTTTACGTGCAAGTGGAACAACAGCTTCATCCAGAAACATTGGGAAAGCCAGCTATAGTTGCACAATATAACACATGGAAAGGCGGGGGGGTAAGTTGTGCATATGTACAACAAATGGTGGTAGTGCACAGATGCTTGTTTGACTCCACTTTTTACTCAGTTCTGAGTATGTTACCAGTCATGGTCAGTTTTTGGATGACTGAGCAGCATATGAAGTTTGAGTGATGTGCAGTGTTGGGCTGGGGCACATATTCATTAGGGCAAGATTTGATCCTGGAAAGATCAAGCATGATGAGTATGGGTTTGATGGTAAAATGGTTTTTGATATGTATGAACATGTGGGTGTTATTTTCATAATAGGGCATCATTACTACTGCTATGATTGATGCTGGCAGAAGTTACCGAAATAAGAAAAGTGTTATGCAGCTGTTAGTTGTTTTTTTAGATGATGATATTAATGCTAAAGATATCAAAGATTCCAAAGGTAATGTCAAAGATGTCAAACTTGATTGCTGCTCCAACCAATTTAATAGAGTCCTTAATTCAATCCTGACACATAACTTATGTGTAGAATTGATTCCACTTTGACTTAGTGCAAGTTTGGTTGCTTCTTAAGTCATTTATCACTACTTTCACCTGGATTCAAGCAGCATGAGTGAGATGACCAGATTTTCTGTCTGTTTGAGCTTGTCACTCATGGCTGTATTGAGGTGATGAGCTCATTAACCCATGACTAAATTGAGCTCATGACTTATAAAATGCTGTGATATTGCTCATGATATTGTTCGTGTTTTGTGGGGCTATGGGTCACCTGCGTTGTTTGCTGGCCCTACAGAATGTCAGATCCACTTTCTTAGGGGACTATTAATGCAGATTTTCCTGACTGTATCAGATCTTTTGCTCACCAGGACTTCAGAAAGGTGGGCAGTGATATCAGGTTTTTAGTTAATGCTAAGTTTGATTTTCATTTTTATTGTCTAATTACATTGTTTTGCCTGAATATGTCCAGTGATGTTTGTGCATGTGTTATGTTTATGTAGTTCTTGTTCTTGTTCTTGCCAGCATGCTGTAGTTGTTTGTATGCACATACATTCCCAGCCATGAGCCATAGAAATAGGCATGGAGGTTACAAACTGCCAAATGAATCACTGTACCACAGTCATGCCTCAACACCCACTGCTCCACAGTCCTCAATATTTTGGCATCCTCTTCTATGATCTCAGACTTTCCACAACCTCTCCATTACCTCTGCCTGCTCTGCCTCCAGCATCATCGCCGTCAACTACGAGGCGCGCGCGTGCGGCGTGACTCGCGGCATGCGTGGCGATGAGGCGCGCCGCCTCTGCCCTGAGCTGGTGGTGTTCCGCGTGCCCGAGGTGCGCGGCAAGGCCGACATCAATCGATACCGCGAGGCTGGCCGGCGCGTGATCGACTCCCTGCGACCCTTTACTGAGCGCCTGGAGCGGGCCAGCGTGGACGAGGCGTACGTGGAGCTGACGGCCGAGGCGGCGGCGCGGCTGGCCAGCGGCCCGCTCGCGCCCGAGCACCTGGCCAACACGTTCGTGGTCGGCTATGGCGGAGACGAGAAGACTGAGGGTACGTGACGGGAGGGCAGTTTGGGGCGGTTTGGCGTCTTGGGCTTCAGCACCAGCAAGTGAAAGGATCTTTTTGTATCATATCATAAATTTTTTGCATCTTGGATCATTTCACACATCCAATGTTGCTGTAAAGGTGGACACAATATGCCATTATACATATCTTCTGTTAGTTGGCATAATTGATTGACAGATGGGATTATTGAAAGCTGTTAGAAAGGGAACAAGACACTGTGATGTATGTGTAAACTTGAATATGAACTTGATGTGTGTGTGAAACTTCCATGAACTTGATGGAAGAGAACAGAGACATCACTGTGCCACCATGATTCAGACCATGTACTGGGTGCTTCATGATAAGACATGCATGGGCTAGTCTGTGTGACTGGAGACCTGATGACCGCCTAACGCGAGGTCATGAGGCATGACCTTTGTTTCAGAGTGCCGCAAGGCAGAGGTGGAGGCGTTTTTAGAGTCCGTGAACTCAGAGTTCGCATCGCCAGGTGACCGGCTCCTGGCGGCGGGTGCTGCCATCTGTGAACAAATGCGCAAAGCTGTGCATGATCAGACCGGCTACCGATGTTCGGCTGGCATCGCACACAATAAGGTAAGTTATGCCGACTGCGAGATCGTGGAAAAATGCGTCTGCTGTGTATTTGGATGAAGCGTATGTGATTTATCATGTCAGTGAGCTGTTCAATGACATCAACTTTGCACTGAATAGCATTCTTACCCCTCCCCCCAAAATGCAGCAACTGGCTGGTCGCAGAACGTGACAGTCAACAACTTGTGTGTGCTGAACTGGTGGTTTTCGAGACAACTTTGGTGCTTCGGCCGTCTTTCGCCGTCCCATGTGCCGCCGTTCTCGGCCACCACGTCGTCTCGTCCCCTCGCAACACCTCCCTTCCCCGGGGTCGTGCTGCGACCCTCGTCCACGTGTCGGCAGTAACGCGGACCCTAATCGGGAGCTCGGCCATGCACCCGCTCTGGCCTGGCCTGGCTGTCTGTGTGGTGAGGCAAGCCCCGCTGTCGGATGTAACCCAGGCTAGCCACAGCATTGACCTACTTGTGGCCCACTTCGTAGTTTCGTAGCCCTGAAATAGTGGGTGCTGATGGAAAGGGCTTATTTCATAATTTATTATTTTTTAATTTTTCATACATTTCACACATCATGCAGACATTATTTCATAACTCACATTTTTACACATTTTTATATTAAATTTAATTACACAAATGCCTTGCGGGAACTTGGTTGACAGGATCAATGAAAGCCCGAGCACATGTTGGCAGGTTCTGGCGAAGCTGTGTGCCGGCAAGAACAAGCCAAACCGGCAGACTATTCTACCCCATGGTTCCGTTGCGCATCTCTACTCGAAGCTACCCGTTAAAAAGGTGGGAATGTCGCATTTTCGCATCAATATGTTAGTATATAGGACAAGCCCAGAAACTTGGATTCATCGATTCAGTGCGTAATCGTTGACTTTGTTTACATAGAAGGTTAGCAAAAGTGACAAGATCGAAGGAAGAAAGTACGGAAATGTAAACTTTGCTGCGTTTCCTCTGCTATACATAACATACTGTGTGTAGCAGGAGGAAGAAAATGAAGGGAAGTGGCAGCGTATATAATAGGATGTAAAAAACATAATAAGTCCCAGAAATGGTGGCCAGGGATCCAGCACATAAAAACAGCATTTGTATGCCACTATGTTTACCTGACGATAGTGCTCACCAGTGCATCTGACTGCATTGAAGACGCGTGGACGGACGAACCCGGGCCCCCAGCGCTCTGTGTGCTATCGCCGTGTGTGCCGCACCGGCTGCCCCAGCGTCACCGGCGCCGTGTCCGGCAGGTGCGTCTGCTGGGCGGCAAGCTGGGAGACGCCGTGACCGAGCAGCTGGGCTGCGAGACCATGGCCGACCTGGGCCGGCTGTCGCTGGCGCATCTGCAGGCGGCGTTCGACGAGAAGACCGGGTGAGGCGCCGCCCAGAGTTCGGCCCGGCTTCGACGCGAGGGACGCAGTGTTTTGTAACACCGGGATCGGTTCCAGCGTACATACATCGTCGGGTCGGGCTTCGGGAGGCCGCGGAAGGTTCACTTCGCAGCAGGCGCTCGGCGGCGCGTCTCCCCACAAAGGCGAAACTTTTCACTCTGACGGACGCAAGCAGAACTATTCTGTGGACGTTATGGAATGTTGACATTGTGGTCTGAGGGCGTTATGAAGTGCGGACATTATCAGCTGTAGACATTTTAAACTATGGTCATCATGAAGACCTCCCCCCCCCCCCGAATTCAGTGCCCGCTGCAGGCAAGGCAATGTCGAAGCATAACATGTCTAGTTTTGTCCCCCCCCCCCCCCTATTACCGGCTACGGACGGACTGCGGAAATCACCGTTCCCGCTCAGGATTCGGGAAGCAATACAGTAGACGAAATGGTAGATACGTCCGGAACTGCGCGCAGCCACGGGGCTAGGCCGTGATGGCAGAGTGTAGCACTTACGCTCTCGGTCAGCCGGCGTCTTCGGATATGTTGCGCGGGTGTCGGACGCGTGGATGCTGATTGCGCGGGCTGCGGTGGGACGCGCGTCAGCGCGTGACAGCGGGCGGCGGCTGCTGACGCTGGGCCGCTCGCTCCGCCAGGGCGTGGCTGTACCAGCTGGCGCGCGGCTTCGACTCGGAACCCGTGGCCGACCGCCACCTGCCCAAGTCGATCGGCTGCAGCAAGAACTTCCGCGGCCCGGAGGTGCTGCGCACGCGCGCCAAGGTCAAGCACTGGCTCGCCCAGCTGGCCTCCGAGGCGAGCGAGCGGCTCAAGAAGGACAGGGAGGCGGTGAGTGGGCCGGGAACGCCCGCCACCCGTGGATGCCAGACGGGGAGGGCGACGATGCACCGTCACACTTAAAACTGTACACAGACACGTCTTTGAGGGAATGCGATTCTGTGTAAACCGCGGCACTGCCTGCTTCTAAGTATACGGGAAGCAGACGAGGATGTAATGTGTACAGGCAGTGGCGTCTGGACCTCTGCGTTGTACTGGCAGCCAGCGGGGGGTACGCCATGCTGTTGGCACCGGCGCTCCCGCGTGCCGGCTGGGTGTGTGGTATGTCACTTTTACTGCGGCAGGCCCCAGCCGCCTGTTTGCCTTCTCGTTCGGCCGCCTTTCGTTCATGGCTTTCGTGTGCTCATGTTCCTGTACCGGCCATGTTCATGTCCCTTTTGCGTGCTCTCACATGTTATGACTGGCCTTACGCCCATGCCTTGCATCTCTCTTCCGTCTGCCCCCCCCCCCCCCCCCCCTGTCCACGTGATGACTCCGCTTCCGGCATCCCACTGTCCGCGTGATTACTCCGCCTCTTCCTCCCCCCCCCCTGTCCGAGTAGAGGCTTGGCCTCTGCCCCCCCCCCCCCCGTCCGAGTGGTGACAAGCGCTGACTCCGCTTCTGCCGCCACGGACGGTTGGCTGACGCCGCCCCTGCGCCGCCAGAACCAGCGTACGTCTCGCTCGCTGACGGTGTACGTGACGACGGAGGCGGGTCGCCACGTGAGCCGCGCATGCGCACTCACCGGCTACGACGCCGACACCATCGCCGCCGACGCGTTCGTGGCGCTGGGACGGCTGAACACGGCCCGCGACGGCGACCAGGCCTGGTGGGTCGGCGCGAGGGAGAGGGGGAGGTCATGTGACGGGCCAGCCGCGCCGAGACGGCCGCCTTGGTGTGGTCGGGCCTGGTATGTGGTGATGCGCATCGCCTTTTCCGAGGAATGGAGTATGCCGGTACCAGAATTCCTGAAGTTGCTTGTTGATGCGGCTTCGGGGACGCAGTGTGCTCTGCCGGCATTTGCATGATACGTCAGACTCACGTCTATTGGATTCGCTGCTCGAATGTGACCGAAGCAGCCGCCCTTGTGATGGTCATAGGCCGGGGCCTCTTGTCGCTCGTTAAGACATTGGGGACGGAGGTGACAAGTGTTTGTTGGTTAATCGCTTTGGCTCCTTTAGATCTCGGTGGATGCAATGATCGGATCAGCAGGTTAGCCCGCGGCGGAGTGATGATCTTCGATCTGTGATTGATCGTGGTCTCCGAGACTTCGACTTGCGATCGGTTTCGCCGGTTTCGCCCGCATAGCTTGGGACGAGATGGCCGGACCCATGAATAATGCATGCTGATAAGGGAAATGACATCACCCTATCAGCATGTTACAAACGCGAGTGTTTTGAAGCTAGACTTCGTCTATCTGTCCGTCAGGCCTTCCGAAACGGTTGCCGAGCTGGATGAGTCGGACAGGCGCGTTGTGTAATGAACGACAGGCGGCCGTCTGAAGAATGACAGGCGGCACGTGACGTCACATTTATCTCAGATATTCAGCCGGTGCTCCTGCGTGAGCCTGTTTTGGAAATGCTACGACTGTTGGCTCTTAGTCGGAGACAGACAACTACACGGCCGGGCGATAAAAGGATGGGCTGCCTGGGTACCTCTGTCAGGGCTGTAGACTGGGTGCATTTCTTTTCTACATGCGTTGTTCCACCTACTGCGTGGCGAGGTGTGGCGGCCACGTGCTGTATTCATCGCACTACCCGTGGTATAAGCTGATGGTAGATTTACAAACGAGCTGAAATTCCCAGTCATTGTCACGTTAGCCTTTCAGTGCACGCGGCGGGACCGCCATTCCCATTCATGTCCGAGCATTTCCCGACTATTACAGACCGCTTCGGTTGGTCGCCGGCACATCACGAGGTCCCGTGACCGCGCCCAGCGTCTAATTTGGACGCGCCTCTGGGACCGCCGCCACTAATGAAACCATCGATCGCCGGCCGCCGCCGTCTGGTCGGCCGCCGCTGACCGAGCCGCTCCGTGCTGCAGGGTGCCGCCCCTGATCAACCTGGGCATCTCGGCCGGCAAGTTCTCGGAGGTGCCATCGGCCGCGTGCGGCAGCATCGCCGCCATGTTCTCGCGGCTGCCGACGCCCGCCCGTGCCGGGGAGGCGGCGACGACGGCGGAGGAGCCGGCGGCAGGTGAAGGCGAGCAAGAGGCGTCGGGCGTGGACCAGACATCCGCGGGCGACGGCGGCACCGCAGCCGAGGCCGAGGACGAGTCGGCGGAGGCAGGCGAGATCGCGCTCGATGCGGAGGGGGCGCCAGGGTGCGCCGAGGTGGCCGCTGAAGAGCGCTCGGCCGATGCCGGCGAGGTCTCAGAAGCTGCCGGTGGTTCCGCAGCCTGCCCGGGAAAGCGGCCGTCCGAGGCGTCCGACTCGGAGCACGCGTCCAAGGTCGCCAGAACGGTGCAGCCGGGCGGTCCGGCCGGCCCGTCGGTGGATGGCGACGACGGCTCGTCCTCCGCCCAGCAGCTGTCCTCTGTCGGGTCGGGCGAGGCCGCCGGCGCGCCCCGCTCCGGCTTCTTCGCGCGCAAGGAGCAGCAGATCCGGGCGCAGCTGGCCGCAGCCGCCGCGGCCGCCGTGGCGGAGCCGGTCGTCGCACCTCCGCCCGGGTGTCCGACGCCGGCGGCGGGGTCCCCCAAGCGTCCCGCGCCCGCGCCGAGCACCGCGTCCAGCCCGGCCCGGCGCGGGTCGCGGCAGCACAGCGACCAGCCCCGCGCGGCGCGGGCGTGGCCGCGGGCGGGGGCGCGGCCGGGGACGGGCCGCCGTCGCTGCCCAGCGGCCGGCCGACGCGGCGCCGGAGCGCGTGTTCGCGCTGGACGCTGACGCCGTCGACGCGGAGACGCTGGCCGCCCTGCCGCCGGACATCCGCGAGGAGGTGCAGCAGCAGCTGCGCCGCCAGCGGGAGGAGGAGCGGCGCCGCCGCGGCGGCATCCGGCGCTACCTGTGCGCCGGGGAGCGGCCGCCAGGCCCGACGGCGGCGGACGGAGCGGACGGGAGGGACCAGCCGGCGTCAGCTGCTGTACGCCCGGCGGAGGCAGACGAGCCCGCGACGAGGACGGCGGAGAGGACCGCCGGACCGGCCGGCGGCGCAGTGACGAGCGAGCCGGAGCCGGTGGCGGGTCCGTCGGGCCTGGGGGTGGCGTCGGGGGCCGAGCCGGGCCGCTCGGACGAGCCGGAGTCGGACGACGCGGCCGACCTGCCGGCGCCGCGGGCTGTGACCGGCCCCGCGACGCAGGGCGGCACCGCCGGCCCGGACGCGGCCGCCTGTCCGCGCTGCGGCGTGCCCGTCTCGCCGTGGGAGCTGCCCGAACATCTCGACTACCACGTGGCGCTGGAGCTGTCGGAGCATCCGACGCCACCGCCGCCGCCGACGCGGCCCCCGGCGGCGCGGGCTGGCCGGGTGCGGCGGCGTGGACGGCCCAGCAAGGTCGAGACGCTGAGGAAGGCCGGAGAAGTGCGCAGCATCGACGCCTTCTTCAAATGATGGGGCGGTTAGAGGGGTGGGCCTGCGCCGGGCCAGGTCCAGTCAGGAACTGATGACGGGCAGGGTCAGCTAGGGACTGGTGACAATGATCGTTATGAGATTGGCGTGTACGTGTGGCACCTGGTGCGAAATGTTAGACTTCAGTCAGTAATGTGGTCGCGCGTATTGATGCTCATGGGACTACGCCACCGAATGGGTAGTTAACTACATGGTGGATAGCTCGGCCGGACCCTGAAGCATAATGTGAGAACTGAAAGTGCCTAGCACATTGGGGACAATAAGCGGATCCTGAGTCTAATTCTTCATCAAGGCCGCAGGAAATAGTCATGCAATCGATTGTGCTCGTATTCCGCTGGGCCGCTGGCACTGTGTATGTGCGTCGTTTTCTGTTGTTGCTGCTTCGCGATACCAAAGGTTTTGTCGGAAATGCTGGCATGTTTATACACCAATGCCTCGATATGCGATGTGCCCACGGTTTGCACCATCCAGAATATATTGGATTAGCTGCTGGAATGTTAGTCTGCATACGACCGAAAGGCGCCGCCGTCGACTTATGCACGGCTGGTTGATAGCTAATCTCGCTTTAGACGGCTTTGTTTGCCCCGTTTGTCATGTGCACGGGCCGGGCGCCGGCGCTGTGCAGATGTCGTGCGGCGGGAACCCGTCCTATGCACGGCACGAGGGCGATCCGGGGCGGCCTTCAGAGCCGGAGACAGGGTTACCGCAGTATGCCCGCGCCGTGCCGGAACTGTTCAGCCGTGGGTCGGTCGTATCGAACAGGCGGCCACACGGGGCATTCTGGTGCCGGTTCCGAGCAACTATCAAGCGTCGCGAGGTCGGTTTTCGCCCGCCGTGGAGGCGACAGAACCTGCAGCGCGGAGGTGGCCGCTCCCTCGGAGATGAAAATCTAAGCGGGCCGGGTTGGGGCGGATCACGAGGCGTTTCATCTCGGCAGTGCGACCGCTTTGATTTCCGTCAGATGTCGCTTTCTCCGAAGCGGTGTCGCCTGTCAGGCGGCTTTGATCACGCGCCGTTTGAACTCCCACGTTCCATGTCTCGTGTGGCCCGGGAATTTGTGGGGCACAGGCGTCCGTTGTGTATTGTTGAGCCTGCTTGTATTTATGTTGACTGCACATCACGTTAATTGTTTACCATACTGGCAGCCGCCTTTTATCACAGTCCATACGGAAACAAGCGGCGTGTTGTTCTAGGAAAGCCTCGTCGGTATGAAGTTATGAAGCCTTGCCCGCCTTAATCGCGCGGCTCGTGCCTGATTTCGTTTGATGACGCACTAGTTTCGCAAACTCTGCCAAACACCTGCCCACCCGAATTGCATCGTGTGAGAACGCTTCGGCGTTTTGAGCCCCAGCCGTCTCGGCTAAAAGCCGACGGTCAGACCATTTCATCAGGGGATCGTCCAGCGGACGATGCGTGCACGCCCCCAGCGCTAATCAGCTTGTAATTAACCCCACCAGCTGGGCGGCCGGCGGCGCGGCCCGCACGCCGGCGCATGCGCAGTGCGCGACCAGCAGCAGAAGACTGGCCGTGTGTACGGCGGCGGCGCTCGGCAGTTGGGAGGCGGTGCTCGGAGGGGGTGGGTGTGACCGCGCGGGCATCCCGCCGACGGCCGCCACGCGTCTCCTGCGGCTCACAGCGCTGCAGTCATGGACCGCCTTGCCCTCCGGCTCGGCCTAGGTACGTCCGGGGCGACGCCAATGCGTGATCTGCGACACCCGGGAATCGATTTTTCCGCTCGGCGAGTTGGCGCCTACGGGTCTGAAGCTCGGTCGTTGCTGACTAAGAGGGATCCCCTCGGGCGGCGGCCCGGTCGATGGTGCAGCCCCCTGTCGGCGCCCCTGACAGGCCCCGCTGAAAAATAGACCTGCGTCACGCCAGCAGGGTGCGTTCTAGTGCACGTTATGCAGATACGGTACCATTTTGTCAGGCTGCAGCGATTTGCGAGTCGTAATTAAGGTGTTTTGGCACAAGCTCACTCAGTGCTCACAAGCGTGCTGGTTGTATGATTGGCGGGAATACGACATGCGCATCATGTGGTTACGAAGCGGAATATGCAAAGGTCCAGCCGGGACGCGTCCGGGCTGCGCCGGCGAAGATTACAGGCCGCGCGGAACGACGACACCCCAATAAGTCCAACGCCAGCGGGCCATTGGCTGACCACCCCTGCGGCTCTTCGCAGTGTCCCTCGGACAAGTCTGTGGTCGGGGATGTGCTAGTCCGTCCTCAGATTCTGTTGTCAGTTTTCGCTTGCCATCTTAATACGACCCCTTCTTGAATGCCCCATTCGGTTGTCTCAACGCGCAACAGCAAGAATAGGGTCGCCCGCGACTGTCCAATCCGTGGTGTCATTGCAATGCAACTCCATCTTCGCGTGCCACTGGTCTTGGTTCTCGCAATACATGTCGTGTGCGTTGAGATAATGTCCTCTCCCGTCCTGTACCGTCGTCACGCGCTCCTCAATGGCTCGAACACCCATGCTTTCAGCTCCAGTTTCCACGACATTTGGCTATTGTTTGGTGCGTCGAGAAGCATCAGCGCCCGATGTGGTTACCAAATCAGCGTTTCTGTTCGACGACAATCTCAGCGAATGTTCCATTTACAGTTATCTCACGTCTTGTGATTGAATTAAAGAAACGGAATACCCTGATCGACTTTGCCCGCACCCCTGTCATCCGATGGAGAACAGGCCTGCTTATAGTCCTTCATCCGTTGGCAGGAGGTCTCGGTATGCACATCGTTACATCAGGGCCGTTATTTGCCCTCAGTGCTCCGTAGTACAGATTAACGTAGGCATTGGTGTTCGCGGTCTGCCAGCTGTCGTACTTGACACCGGCTCCTTGCCATAAATTTGAAGATATAAATGCGTGTCAAACATCGCCTCCGCTAACCGGAAGCACAAAAGCATCGCCATGCCTTTTGCCTTCTTCGTTCACTAGCTGTCGTATTTTTTTTTTTTAGCTGAGAGTGCCTCGACTTAAAAAACATTTCTCTCCTGCTTTGGATGCTCCTGTACGGTTGTATGCGCCGCGATGAGTTGGGTCAGACGTTCCTAGCCACCTGTTTGTGAGTGATATAAGCATATTCAACGCGGTGAAAAACTCGGCTAAGTTAAAAGCCACGCTTAACTTGACTTGCACTTAACAATGAGCGGTGACAACGAACGCATTTATGCCTCGGGACAACGTAGCGCGTCAAAACACCGCGTACGTATGCAGCTGGGGGAATTCTGCGGCTTCATGGGTGACGCCATAAACGCCCCACCGGGTCCGCCATCGCGCCAGAATCACACGTCAGCGTAGTCCAGCGGCCGGCCTTACAACGCCAGAGCTGCTGCTGAGGGTCGGTTCGTCTGGCCTGCTGAGAATAGTATGACGCCAGACTGCGAGCCTGGGGGTCGGTTCGTCTGGCCTGCTGAGAAAAAATTTAATGACGCCCGACTGCGGGCTGGTGTCGGCCCATTGACCTGCGAGATGTATGACGCCAGACTGGTGCGTATGGGGTTCGGCTCATTCCGACCTGCTGAGATGTATGACGCCAGACGGCGGCTGGAGGGGTCGGCCTCGTCTGAACTGCGAGAGGTAATGATGCCAGAACTGACCGCGGCTGGGGGTCGGTTCGTCTGGCATGCTGCTGTAATGTATACGTCAGACTGCGGCGGGGGTCGGCTCGTCTGAACTGCCGAGATTATTGACGCCAGACTGGCGGCTGGGGGTCAGCCCGTCTGGCCTGCTGAGATGTATGACTGCCAGACTGGGGTGCTGGGGGTCAGCTCGTCCTGACCTGGCTGAGATGTTGACGCCAGAACCGCGGCTGGGGGCGGCTCGTCCGGACCTGCTGACATGTAATGACGCCCAGACTGTGCGGCTTGGGGGTCGGCCCATCTGACCTGCTGAGATGTTTGGCGCCAGACTACTGCGTGGGGGCCGGCTCGGCTGGCCCTGCTGAAGATAATATGACGCCAAGACTGGGCCTGCTGGGGTCGGTTTCGTTTGGGTCCTTGCTGAGATGTAATGACGCCAGACCTGCCGGCTGGGGGGAGCGGCTCGTCTGACCTGCTGAAATGTTAAGGAAGCTCCAGAACCGCGGCTGGGTGGTCGGCTCGGTCTGGCCTGCTGAGAATGTATGAACGGCCAGACGGTGCTTTGGGGTCAGCTCGTCTGACCTGCTGAGATGTATGACGCCAGACCTGCGACTGGGGGTCGGCTCGTCTGACCTGGCTGAGAACGTACGACGGGCCGGACCCGCGGCTGGGGGTCGGCCCGTCTGACCAGCCGAAATGTTCGCCCACCGTCCTGTCGCGCGCAGTTCCCGGCCGCCCGGCCGCCGTCTGTCTCGCATCAGATGTGATTAATGACCGCATTACTTCGGTAAACAAAGATTCGTCCGGTTTGGTCGATTCGGTCTTTCGGGGCGGCGCGCTAATGAGACAGCGGGGCATCAATCGTGCAAAGCTTTCAGGCCGTGGTCCTCAAACAATCGTAATTCACAGCCGTTAAAAGACATGTCGGGAGGCCTGCAATATTGGAAGCCGAATGTGTGGCGGAAATGGCAGTAGACCAGGACGCGAGGGACGTTTGGTGCTTCTTCTCGAGCGTCGGCATGTAATCCTGCTTCCCCAACTACGTTTTTGAGCGTGATTTACCCAACCAAATGAGGACGAAAGTCGAGAGCGTAGATCCTTCGGCCAGCGAGTGGCTTGCTTAATGCTCGGCTTTAGTTTTCAGTCGTCTCTCAATTTCTCTTCTCTCATTTCTCACTTCTCCCCTTTTCCAGTCCCCGAGAAACTTCAAGAATCTGAAAGGCTGCCGTTGCTAAGGTGGCCAGCCCGCCTCCCTCCACTTCCAGCCGCATGGTTGCCGCTGCCACCGGCTGGCCGTGTTTTCCTCCCAGTCCACTTCAATCTCGTCAGCCCAGCCGTTCCCCGTGAACCCAGTCTGACCTGCCGCAGCCGGCACGGTTACCAGGGTTTTTGAATCATGCCATTCTTAAGTGTGTATGTGTGTTAGGGGGAGTCGGGCACCTGGGCAGCCCAGCTGTGTGCTTCGTTTAGAAACGGAATATTTGAACAAGAGAAGTTTTTGCAAATCGTATACGCATTTACTCTACTTTTTCGCAATCGCAGCACGGCCCAGGCTTTCCACGCCGCACCACCGCTCGCCGCATCTGACAGCGCTTTACTCTTGCCTTAGCGCTGAGCGCTTACTCATTTCGACAGCAGTCACTTTTCTCGGCTCGCCGCGCACCACTGATGCGGGTGCTAAAGCCGTCGAGGTGCCAACGACAGATCAGGACATTGCTAAACCGTGGATGTTGATTCACGCCTATCTTCGACCTCGGCAGTGGCAAACCCCACCTCCCGCGATCGCCACCTCCAGCGACGCTTACAGACCGTCATCCCACTGTCCGTGATCCCGCCGCCCGTGATCCCATCACCTGTGATCCCGTCACCCGTGATTCTATCACCCATGATCCTGACACCCGTGATCCGTCGCCCGCGATCCCGTCATCCGTGATTCTATTACCCATGATCCTATCACCCGTGATCACGCCACCCGTGATCCCGTCACCCGTGATCCCGTCACCCGTGATCACGCCACCCGTGATCCCGTCAGCCGTGATCCGGGGCACCGGTGGTCACTCCACCTGTGAGCGGCCGGCTGCGGTCCGCCCGACGCTGCAGCGGGGGCCGACCGTCACACAATGCAGTCGCCCGAGGCATAAATCACCGGCCCAGCGGTAAGCCGATTACCGACGAAACGACGGGCCGCGCTCATCGCCGTATCAGATTCTGCGTGTCGTCGGCGAGCTGTTTGTTTTGACAGCGGGGGGGGGGGGGGGCTGGCCGGTCGCCAGCCGGCGGCTCGTTTCAGACGTCCAACTCGCGACTTGCTTCAAACGGCGAGGCCGACGGGAGGTGGTCAGCCGACCCTGACGCTGCGGGTCACGGGGTCAGCAGCGTGGGGTGCAGAGGTCACGGCCGCCGTGCTGGGTTCTAGGCTGTCAGTGTGACCAGCGACGGGTCTTGAAGAGCTGGCCGCCACAGATCCGACGAGAGGTCAGACAGGTCATGATTGGATCGCCACAGACATCAGCTAGACCACACCCGTTGTGCGATCAATGATGGCAATCAACGGCCGCGTTGACCTGAGGTCACTCATCCCCACGCGTTGACTGACACGGGTCACCGGGAGGGTTGCAATGAGTAACGTGGATCATCAAGAACCATCAACTGGGAAAGAAGCCCCGCTTGCCCCCGCGACACGTCCGAGCAGGTCCCCCTTCGAGATCGCCACTCCCCCATCCGCGCACACGCTCTACGACCCGTCGTCGGCGCCTGTGACCCCGGCGGGGTCGTGCGCCGCCGAGCGCCGGCCGCCATGTCGCATCAGCGGCCGTCGGCGCCGGCGCGCGCTGGCCCGTAAGTGGCGCGGTGGTCGGCCGCGGCTAATCAGACGGCGGCGGCCACCGCCCCGCGCCTAATGCGACTGACGCCCGCTCTTCAGAGGCGCCGCGCGGCCGACCCGACCGGCTCAAAATAGGCCGGTTCGGCGTGCAAGCGGGCAGTCGGCCGACCTGTCCCGTCCAGAGGCTTGTGGTGCTTCCAGGCGGCGGCGGAGGATTAGGGGGAATAGTTTCCGACCCGGCCCCTAAACCGGGTAACACCCGCGTCTTTCGAC